CCATTTACACTAACTATTTACATTGAAAATAACTATCAACATTAACTTTTTACACATACTATTTACACTTACTATTTACACTTACTATTTACACTTAATATTTACACTTTTTTTACACTTACTATTTTTACACGTTCTATTTACATTTTTTACACTTTCTTCCTACACTTAAAAATCACTCTTACTATTTACAAAACTATATACACTTAATATTTACTCTTTGAGTGATAACGTCAACAAATCATAATCTTGAAGTCATTTTAAATTACAGTAACATTTTAATATTTTTAATTCAGTAAATTTAATTTTAAAAATCTACATCAAGCAAATAAAAGAATGTAAATAAATAAGATAAAATGGCGTAAAGTTGTAGATAACTAACCTGTTTTCCTGTCCACGAATGTAGAGAAGACTTATAAATTAGCTGCAACCATTCTTACCCAGGCAATACGTCTGCACAATGGAAATCACAGATATTGAAAATGGCCTTTTCCCACCCCTAGAGAGGAAAGTCAAATGTCTCATTTAAGATCAAACTGTCCAAGTGTTTAAAAAGTGATACGATCAAGTGTCACTTTCAAGTGTCGGGTGTCAGGCGCTGATCTCTGATTTGTTCCATGTCACCACCAACCATTGTCAGTTTACGGACGTCTAAACCTTTCCATTGAACTAACATTGTCAAGCTTTCCTATTCAAAGGTTACGGTAAGCTTTGAAAGGTAGCCACATGTTTTGCTGTGTACACGAGAATTTTCATTGTATACCGTTTTATGGTTTGGCCAGTGTATATCATTGAGAGTTGGTCCCTTGCATACCATTTGATAGTTTTGCACGTTTATACCATTTGAGAGTTTCGCTAGTGTATACCATTTGATAGTTTGCCTAGTATACACCATTTGATAGTTTGCCAAGTGTAGACCATTTATTAGTTGAAGCAGTGTATACCATTTGATAGTATGGCCGGTGAATACCATTTGAGAAATTGACCAGTGTATACCATTTGAGAGTTTGTTCCATGTAGATCATTTGATAGTTTGACCAGTGTATACCATTTGATAGTTTGACCATTCTATACCATTTGAGAGTTTGTTCCATGTAGATCATATGATAGTTTGACCATTTGGTAGCCTGCCAAGTGTATACCATTTGATAGTTTGACCCGTGTATACCATTTGGTAGTTTGACCAGTGTATACCATTTGGTAGCCTGCCAAGTGTATACCATTTGATAGTTTGACCAGTGTATACCATTTGATAGTTTGACCAGTGTATACCATTTGGTAGTTTGACCAGTGTATACCATTTGGTAGTTTGACCAGTGTATACCATTTGGTAGCCTGCCAAGTGTATACCATTTGATAGTTTGACCAGTGTATACCATTTGAGAGTTTGTTCCATGTAGATCATTTGATAGTTTGACCAGTGTATACCATTTGGTAGCCTGTCAAGTGTATACCATTTGATAGTTTGACCATTGTATACCATTTGGTAGTTTGACCAGTGTATACCATTTGGTAGTTTGACCAGTGTATATCATTTGGTAGTTTGACCAGTGTATACTATTGGAGAGTTTGGCCGATGAATACTATTTGGGGGTTCGGCCAATGTATACCTGTCACAACTACAACCACTTACAACCACAAGCTAGTTATGATTTATAATAACAGAAGCGTTGTGGATCACGTGAGAGCGACTCTACTTTATTGATTACTAAACACACGATCACAATAATAATAATAGTTAATATCTGACCTTGAAATACGAGCAAATACTCATGCTGAATATACTGATCCGAAAACACTTTGAATATAGCTTCTCGGTATACTTTTTGGTAACTCGTCTACCTGATAAAGATATCACTATGACCAAATCTTATAACATAAATATGGACTTAATAACTGACACCATTTCTTATCTCAGTCCCGCTCCTCTCTCATTGGTTAGTTTTATAATATTACAAGTTCAATTGGTTTACTTTTTCTATTAAGAGCAAACTGGTTTTATGAATTCGGTAAAAAATGGGTTATCATTTTATTTTCACATTGGATTAAAAAATGTTCTACATAAAATAGAATGTCAAATTTATTAGATAGGAATAGTCACTTGAAATTATGTCTAAAAAAGTCAAAACTTTTTATCTAACATAATCTAGTTACCCAATTGCGAAATGTCACTGCGCACTTACACAAACGTGTTAAGTGATATTTATAGCAGCAGATGACCACGTGACAAAGTTAAGCATCATATCCGATCACGTGATGAGAAAGATGGATCATACTCTTGCACGTGAAGAGAGAGAGAGAGTGAGTTAGAGTCCATATCCTAGAACTTAACGAGAGTAAAGGATCATTCCCTTTTACGTGATAAGGGTGAAGGATTTAAGGATCTTACCCCCGCACGTGATAGGAGTGAGGCATCCCACCCTAGCACGCAATATGATTGTGGGAGTTATGGACCATAGCCGAACATGAGGGATTTTATGCTAGCACGCGATATGATTGTGGGAGTTGGGGAACATAAGCGAACATGAAGCATGTAATGAGAATGAGGGATTATTATGCTAGCACGTGAAATGAGTGAGGGAGTTAGGGACCATATCGCACCTTAGTATGTGATAAAATGAGGGATTTTCCCTGACACGTGATTAGGATAAGTGATCATATCCTGTTCAAAAGGAGAGTAAGTGATCATGCCTAGCACGTGATGAGATTCAGGGATTTAGGGATCATATCCTACATGTGATATGTGATGTTTTACATCATGGGTCATATCCCAGTACATTACAAGTCTGATGGGCCATATCCCAGGACATGACAATTCTGATGGGTCATATCTCATGACATAATAAGATGAGTCATATCCCAGGACATGACAAGTGAGATGGGTCATATACTAGGGCATGATAAATGAGAAGGGGCATATCCCAAGACATGACCAGTGTAATGGCACATATCCCAGGACATGACAAGTCTGATGTGTCATATCCCAGGACATGACTAGTCTGATGTGTCATATCCCAGGACATGACAAGTCTGATGTGTCATATCCCAGGACATGACAAGTCTGATGTGTCATATCCCAGGACAATGACAAGTCTGATGTATAATGTATAACTAATATGTGGAGCATCCATGTCATGTCATGGCGTTGGTGAAAACACAAACAGAAAACAAAAAATAAAGATGTTCTTCTCAAGGATTCTTTTTCTACCCTTTCTCTCTTGTCCAATGATCTATTCTCCATCTTGTGCTGGTGTGTTGCGCATGTCCTTCATAATTTCGTCACATCGTTGTAGTTGCTTGTATTTTTCTAAGTTTCGTCTTACGCTTTGTATTGTCATCAATAGTATTATCGAACTTTAATATTCCATAATTATTAAATATACATTAGAATTTCAATATCTCGATATTTTAACCTAACCCTGATATTAACTATGATGTTAATGTTAGGATATTTTAACTTAACATTGATATTACCTATGATGTTAATGTTAAGATATTTTAACTTAACATTGATATTACCTTTAATGTTAACTTTAATGTTTGATGTTCAAAAATAGAATTTTACCTTTATCCCACAAGTCACGACCAGCTTACCACAACTGACAGAGCGATGCCAACGGGACAGTTATAAATCAATATGACCTTTAAAAAATACAAGGCTTTGTATGTGGTCTTGGAAGAAAAGGGTGAACGTAGTCTTTCAATAGCAGTGTTTGTATAGCAGTGATTTTATAGAATATATGTAAAGCAATGTCTCTACAGCATTCTCTGTTTAGAAATATTTGTGCATAGCAATGTTGTTTAGCAATGTTGGTACAGATAGTGGGTTGAAAGCGAACATGACTTTTATATCGATTCTAAGACAGAACATAACAACAGGTCATGTATATGGATTTTAAGACTGAGATAAACGAAGGTCATGTGGATAAATACAAACACACATTAAACGCAATACAAATACAATACAAACACAATTTAAACACAATACAAACATGGGCGCCCGCAGAAAACTTTCTAGGGGGGCGGGGGCAAAAAAATCGATTGACTTTCCAGGGGGGGGGGGGGGGAAAACTTTTTTTAGGGGGGGTGGGGTGGGGGCAAAACTTTTTTAGTAATGTTTTAATATAGTTTAAATTTACTGTAGCGTATTTGTGTGGTGAACGAACGGACAGGACATCAGCTTAGTTACTTTCTCTTTATTTTCTCTTTACTTTAATACATTTTGTGTCTATTTTGTTCTAATTTTTTTTTTTATCCAATCAATCCAGGGGGGTGGGCAAATGCCCCCCTTGCCCCTACCTGCAAGCGCCCATGAATAAAAACACAAATATGAACACAGTAATAACACAATACACACACAATATAAACCAAAATAAAAACACAAACAAAAATATATTTACATAAATACACAAAGTAATTTGCACAAATATAAACACACATTGACACACACATACACATAAAAACATATGAACATATACACACACATTCACACACACACACACACATACAATCACATCTATTCATAGATCATTTCTAAATCAAACAAAAATGTGAAACTAATTTCATGGATAAACAACATAAAATTGTGTAGGTTAAAATATTCATAATATTATTATAGTCAAAACCAAAAGTACATTCAAATAAAATTTGGAAATGCAATTAATGTGAAAAAGTTGTTGTCACTAGAATATTTATTGCAATCCTCATAGAGATTCGTTGAATATTAAAAAAATAAATAACTTCACCGGTGAATTGAATGAAATGTTCACAAAAATATATTTACACCTAAACCTTTGATTTGATTTGATTTTTTAATCACAGAAAGTGATTAAGTTGATTCGTGTCATTAAACCGTTACAATTTTACTTAAGTTTACCAGTTACATTTTTACTACAGTGTAAGCGCAACTCAAGTTAAAAATAAATATTGTTTGAAAAATATGGCGTATGATTTAGTGATATATATATATATATATATTTATTTTTTATTTATTTTTTTTTCTTAAGAAAAAACAATCTATACATTATGGAATGTTGCGTAAACTAAAGGTAACCACTAACCAATCTAAAGATAATTTAAAAACAATTAAGCTAATGCAATATCATGAAACAATTAATCCAATGTTAGACTTTGTTTCAGGGTACGTTCGAAAATTTCGTCAAGCCGAGTGGGGGGAGGGGGTCAAGAATTTGTGACGTCACAAAATTCCCTATTTAATTAATTTTAAAACATTTATTTCAGGTCATAATTGACTCATGTATTAGATGTACCGTTAAATCAGTTGCGCACACCTTCTGCGCATATAGAAAAAAATGACGCTAAACTTATGTGGCCATTTTACATTCGGCTCGGGGAGGACTTGGTTGTTTTGTGTTCACGCCACAGTCTTCTAATATTAGTACACTTGAACCATAATGGAAAAACATATTTAATAATGAGCTATGCTAACCGTAACGCCAAAGAAACGAAAAGATTTAAATGCGTTCAGATTCATAAAAACGATCATAGTTATTTTCTTTTTTTTTTTTTTTACGGAAATCGAATAAAATTTTATGCGAAAAAATATTATATATCCGCTTTTATATTATTAAAAGTTTGAGTATTATTATTATAAATAAGAAAAAAATTTAATCTAACAATAATGAAACTATTTCAAGACTTTTTTCAAGCTTGAAATTTATGGAAAAAATTATTTTAAAAAAATATGATCAAAGAATTACATCGTAGTAGCATTTATCGGGAAAACCAAAAAATATGTTTTGTTTAGTGCGTTGTTAATATTGCGAACTAAAATCAAAATTAATTTGTTCTAAATAAACCCGCAAATGACGTCATAGCGCGAATCGACTATGAAGACAAATTTTCGAGTTTCTTTGATTTAATGACCGCGCGTGACAGATCTGATAATGTAATTGCCATTCTTAAAGTTAAAATTAAGGGATATAAGTCATTGCTTTTTTAATCTATATAAATAAATAAATGAATGAATGTATGTATGTCGCATGTGTGCTCCTGTATCATTCATGCGATTGCCATAAAAGTTTTGTGAGTCATTTCAATTACAAACATTTTAAAATATTCCTCATTGGGCCGTTAACCCCTAAATTTGTTGTCTGGAATCTAACTTTTTGAAAATCCTTGCTTCTCACGTTCTTGCTTCAAATTTATTCGTTTACGCACCATGCAGAAAAAAAATATATTGTCAGTATTAACAGTACTGCAAAACACATGATTAAAGCAAAAACCCTTCCTTTCTTAGAGTGGCAATGCAACGCATGCCGGGTCCTCATTAGTGTTAAACAATACAATAAAATCTTAGGTCAGCTATGAAAATTGTATGTATGTTTTTAACTGTTTTAGTTGTGACGTAGCACTTAGTGGGGGTGAGGGTAAAGAATTTGTGAGAATTTGTGTATTTCACTGTTTAGTACTAGCTCGAAAATTAGTTGGTTTGTGCTACAACAGTTGAGTAATGAATTTATTGCTAGCTATTGATGGTTTGTGCTGCAGCAGTTGTGTATTGGGTTCAGTCCTAGCAATTGTTGGTTTGTGCTACAGCAGTTGTGTATAGGGTTCAGTCCCAGCAATTGATCGTGCGTGTTACAGAACTAATCCAAATCTGTCTTATTATTATTATGACGTCATATCCTTCATCTGGATTATGTAAACATCTGAAGTTACATTACTATGCATTTCTTCTTAGCTGATTCTCCAGTGGCCATTTGTGGGGTCAAGGGGTCTTCCACGGGGTCAATAGTATGTGGGTAGTGGGCTTCCATGTCCCCGGGGGTGGGCAGTCGTTTGCGGTCAGGTTGATTCTTGAAATCGTCATCCGGGTACCCTGGAAAAGATCAACTCTATCAGCGAAATAGTTTGAGAGCCATCTAAATAAGCTTTTTACATTTATTTTATAATAGATATCTCTTGTCAATTTATTTTTATTAGATAGTTCTTTTAATTTATATCTAGTAATATTTATAGTATAGTGAATAGTATATACATTAAGGTATCTAAAATGAGTGAATTAAAACTATCTATAGTTATCGACATGAAAAACATGTAAAGTTACGTTCATCTGTATAGCATATTTATTTGTAAGGGTTTAGAGTGCACCCAACTGAAGAGGTTAAGTGCACATTCAAACGAAGTGGCTTAGTTCACAGCCAACTGGAGAGGGTAAGTTCACAGCCAACTGGATAGGTTAAGTGCACAGCCAACTGAAGAGATTAAGTGCAAATCCAAATGAAGTGGTTTAGTGCACAGCAAACTGGAGAGGTTAAGTGCACAGCCAACTTGAGAGGTTAAGTGCACAGCCAACTGAAGAGGTTAAGTGCAAATCGAAATGAAGTGATTTAGTGCTCAGCCAACTGGAGAGGAGCCTCTCTATATCGCCGAGGAAACTCCGCGGCGTCGCAAGGGTTTTGCCTCTTCACGGCGCGCCTGACTAGTAAGGTGAACAGATCACCCGAAGCCAAAAAACCCGACCGCACACGGTCAACGTCCCGTCGGAAAGATTTACGGGGCAAGGGGAGGTGACGCAAGGCCTCCTCCACAATGAGAGGAAGACTTCTGACCAAACCCAAAACTCAATGGCTATTTCAATAAATTATTTAAAGCAGGTCACGGTGACCTTAAAAAAGCACTCAATATCCACTGCTGGGGGGCAAGCTGGGACCGAGTAGAGCGATTATTGAAAGCCCTAAAATAAGCCACGAGAAAGAAGACACCTGCTGCTCGTGCACGCTACAACAGACGTACGGCTCAAGTTCGGGTGGCTGTCCAAAAAGCAAAAAAAATCGAAATGGGTAAGTGCATGTGAAAAGCTCGACCTCCAAGATGGCAGGAAAGTGTAAAAACTACGCAGAAATCTCTCTGGCGTGGGTAAGGTGAAGAACCCACAACAAATCCATACCGAAAAAGGCGTCGAGGTGAGCGACGCAAAAAGAGCAAAGGCGCTCAAAGAACTCGTCGCTGAAGTGAACGAGAAAGCCGGAGAGACGGAGGAACACCGCAACATCGGCCGTCTCAGGAAAAGGAAGCTCGTATCCAACGCATTGTACCCTACCAAGAACTTTGCACGCCCCCCCCCCCTTTTTTTGCAATGGAAGAATTGCACACGAATGCAAAAGTCTTGATAAGGTTCACCACGACATGTTGACCCTCATGGTTAAACAGGGGAGAAAGATTTTGCTGGCTGTCATCAACCTTGCCTGGACTACATACATTCTGCCGAAGAAGTGGAAGAAAGCCATAGTTATCCTAATACTAAAGGATGGTAAACCAGGCCATTTACCAAGCAGCTATCGACCAATATCACTAACATCATGTGTGGGGAGGATAGCTGAAAGAATGTTAAATTGGCAACTCCATTGGTTTTAGAAAAGAATAAGTGCCTACCAACGACCCCAGGTGGGTTCTGAAAGGGTCGCCAACCCATTGACCAGGTGATCCGTCTTGTCCAATCGATGAAAAATTAGCTCCAGAAAAAAAAATCACATGGTGGCAGTTTTCTTTGACCTCAAGCGTACGACCGAGTATGGCGTACAGGACTCAGGGATAAATGCCACAAACTGGGAATCTCTGGAAACATGGGTGGACAACTTCCTAAGAAACAGAACCGTTGCCACGTGGGTTGGCAATAGCCAATCAGATCAGCTAGTTCTAGAGGACAGGCTTCCGGAGGGGTCCACTCTCAGCTGCACCCTGTTTCTCGCATACGTGTACGACTTGCAAGAGAAATTAGAATTTGGAGCTCGGGAAAGGATGTCAAAACATTGCACCGGCTTCAAAACGACCTAAACAGAATGGAAGCCTACGCGAGATGATGGAAAATGGCCGTTAATACAGACAACGGTTTACTCTAAGTTCACAAATGGGAGGAATGCACTTCAAGTCGATACAAAACTAACCATCAACAGTAAGGAGTTGCAATGGAATTGGAGACCAGTGTTATTGGGCATAAAGTTGGACCAAAACTCCAGCTCCATAACCACATTCGCGAACTTTGCGCGAAGACTTCTAAAAATTTAGGACTGGTGACGAAGCTCGCCTGCACTGATTGGGGCACTGACGCAAGACTGCTAAGGTCCCTTTACCTTAGCAGCGTGAGAAGGGCAATGAATTACAGCCTACCCGTCCAGACCCTTGCGAGTCGCACGGCTCTAGAGACCTGGATCGAATCCAAAACCGAGCTCTCAGGTTTGTATGCGGTGGCAATACGCACGACACCCACAGCAGCGGTGGAAGTCCTGGCAGACGGAGAACCACTCGATATCAGGCGGGAAAAGGCAGTCCTGGCAGACGGAGAACCACTCGATATCAGGCGGGAAAAGGCAGTCCTGGCAGACGGAGAACCACTCGATATCAGGCGGGAAAAGGCAGTCCTGGCAGACGGAGAACCACTCGATATCAGGCGGGAAAAGGCAGTCCTGGCAGACGGAGAACCACTCGATATCAGGCGGGAAAAGGCAGTCCTGGCAGACGGAGAACCACTCGATATCAGGCGGGAAAAGGCAGTCCTGGCAGACGGAGAACCACTCGATATCAGGCGGGAAAAGGCAGTCCTGGCGACGGTTGAACGTTACCAACGGATGGACCGGCAAGAACCCTGTTCCCAACTGCAGAACACATTGGTAAAGAAAACCAGATGAAGAGACTGTCCTTCATGGACAAGGTCAACTGTCTTCAGGAAGACGTGGTTTTACCCAAAAACAGAGAAAAAGTGAAGGCGATAATACTTTCCTTCCAACACAAAGTTACTTACTTTCCTTCCAACACAAAGTTACTTACTTCCTTCCAACAGAATTTACTTACTTTCCTTCAAACACAAAGTTACTTACTTTCCTTCCAACACAAAGTTACTTACTTTCCTTCCAACACAAAGTTACTTACTTTCCTTCCAACACAAAGTTACTTACTTTCCTTCCAACACAAAGTTACTTACTTTCCTTCCAACACAAAGTTACTTACTTTCCTTCCAACACAAAGTTACTTACTTTCCTTCCAACACAATTTACTTACTTTCCTTCCAATACAAAGTTACTTACTTTCCTTCCAACACAAAGTTACTTACTTTCCTTCCAACACAAAATTACTTACCTTCCTTCCAACACAAAGTTATTTACTTTCCTTCCAACACAAAGTTACTTACTATCCTTCCAACACAAAGTTACTTACTTTCCTTCCAAAACCCAAATATAAATCCAGGACCTTTTGGCTCTGGTTCCTTTTCTCTGTTAATATTTGAGGAGAAGATTAACTCTAAGTATAAAGCATCACTATATGAGAAGATGATTAACTCAAGTATAAAGCATGAATAATTGAGAAGGTGTTCAATTCTAAAATATAAATTCTCAATATATGTTGAAGTGTTTAATTTGAAGTATAATGTCTCATGACACAAACTTTTAGTCTCAAGTCTAATATGGAAAAAAAATAATGTAATCAGTTTAGCTTCAAGTTATTTCTAATGACTAACTTCAAATGTCTCAAGCCTAATATCTTAAGTCCACTGTCTCAGGCTTAATATCTCAAGTCCAATATCTCAAGTTTAATATCTAGTGTCTTAAGTCTAATTTATCAGGACTTGTGCATCAATTCTTATGTCTCAAGTTAAAAAAACTCAAAACTCATGTCTCGAATCTGTTTTCTCAAATAAAGTTCCTCATGCGTGTCACCTCTAAAGTGTACACAGTTTACAACCAACTTATAGCTAGACGTTTTTGCCAATAGTAATTTAATTATCACATTAGGTAGAACGAATATTGATGCAAAGTATTAAATAAAATACCTGTCATTTAAGCAAGTAAAATAAACTATAAATCATATACCTCTCACTTAGGCATGCCATTTACACTCTAAATATAATACTTATAACTCAGGTTTTCTCCTAAGCTCCACATATGTCATTTTGTAACAACTCTACATATTTATTGTACCAAGATGAATTACTTTCAATACCATGTATCTGTAATTGGTTAGTGGTACCATACAATAATGGTGCACTTGTTCACATACATTTGCTCAAATATTGTAAATATGATTGTATTTAGATTTTGGCTTACTCTGGTTCTACAAGAGGACTTGGAGCTCTCTTGGCTGGAGCTCTTCTCTCAATTTTTGGTGTTACAAGTCTGTAGAAAAAAGAAGATAACTTTAACATAAATAGAAAAGTACGTGTTTTTTTAAATATTTTGTGTACATACATGCACTCTTTTATTGAGATTAAAAAAGGAATTTTAAACATAAAAAATTAATATCAATAAATATACTATCACTAATTCTGAATTCAAAACGACAAGATTTGAACTTAAGATGTCCAGATATGAACTCAAGATGACACGATCTGAACAAAAGATGACAGGATCTGAAATCAAGATGTTATCTTTATGTTATACCACCTATGGTTGCAAAGTCGGAGTAATCGATTATGAAATGGAATCGTTCACAAAAAATTAATTCGTTAAAAATACTTTGTTTTAAATATTTCTTTTGTTTTAGTGGTAAACATAGCTGTATGTAAATTGGGAATATTGTGATATTACTGTTACACATTTCAATGAGATGTTTGTGAATCTTGGCTAAATTGAATCCCATTAAGTCCCCTACCTGTGCATAAACCATTGGTGTGAGTAGCTGAAAAGTAAAATTTTGTTCGGCTTCAATGGATAAATGTGATGTGAGTAGCTAAAATTTACAGTCCACGTCGGCAACAATGTATAAATATGATGTGAGTAGCTAAAAGATACAATAAATTTCGGTTACAATGTATAAACGTGATGTGATTAGCTTAAAGCTACAATTCAGTATGCCTACAATGTATAAACGTGATGTGATTAGCTAAAAGTTACAATTCAGTTTGCCTACAATGTTAAAATGTGATGTGAGTAGCTAAAAGTTACAATTCAGTTTGCCTACAATGTATAAACGTGATGTGATTAGCTAAAAGTTACAATTCAGTTTGCCTACAATGTTAAAATGTGATGTGAGTAGCTAAAAGTTACAATTCAGTTTGCCTACAATGTTAAAATGTGATGTGAGTAGCTAAAAGTTACAATTCAGTTTGCCTACAATGTTAAAATGTGATGTGAGTAGCTAAAAGTTACAATTCAGTTTGTCTACAATGTTAAAATGTGATGTGAGTAGCTAAAAGTTACAATTCAGTTTGCCTACAATGTTAAAATGTGATGTGATTAGCTAAAAGTTACAATTCAGTTTGCCTAAAATGTTAAAATGTGATGTGATTAGCTAAAAGTTACAATTCAGTTTGCCTACAATGTTAAAATGTGATGTGAGTAGCTAAAAGTTACAATTCAGTTTGCCTACAATGTTAAAATGTGATGTGAGTAGCTAAAAGTTACAATTCAGTTCGGGTTCAAGGTATAAATTAATCTTTTTTTGGGTGGTTAAAAACATTTGTTATACTGAAATAACAAATTCAACTCTAAAACTAACAGTATAAATAGTAGACTTTAAAATCAACGTTTTACTAAGAATTCAAACTATTAAAAGTAATGACCTCTGACCTCTTTACTCTCGACTGCGTCACACAGCAGCGTTTTTGACAGTTGAAGTTCCCACAAGCATGCAAGCAAAGGTTTCCGTAGCGCCATAACATAAACGTGAGTAGCGCCAGCATGGCCGTCCCCAGGAGGGCAGCAATGATGATCCAGGCCAAGTTATCCTATGAGGGACATGACCACGAAAAAACCGAAAGTTTTTTTAAAATAATAATCTAAATATGAAATAACTTCTTTAATGGCGTTTACATTAGGTTTTTTTCAACTCGAACCAGACACAAAGTGTCATACCTGACACAGTGCTTCATACCTGGCACAGTGTTTTATACTTGACACAGTGTTTTATACCTGGCACAGTGTTTCATACCTGGCACAGTGTTTTATACCTGGCACAGTGTTTTATACCTGACACGGTGTTTTATACCTTGCACAATGTTTTATACCTGGCACAGTGTTTTATACCTGGCAAAGTGTTTTATACCTGGCACAGTGTTTTATATCTGGCACAGTGTTTTATACCTGGCACAGTGTTTTATACCTGGCATAGTGTTTTACAACTAGTACAACTTGTCATACCTGGCACGGTGTTTCATATTTGGCACAGTGTTTTATACCTGGCACACTGTTTTATACCTGGCACAGTATTTTATACCTGACACAGTGTTTTATACCTGGAACAGTGTTTTATAACTAGTACAACTTGTCATACCTGGCACGGTGTTTCATACCTGGCACAGTGTTTCATACCTGGCACAGTGTTTTATACCTAGTACAACATGTCATACCTGCCACAGTGTTTCATACCTGGCACAGTGTTTTATAACTAGTACAACTTGTCATACCTGGCACGGTGTTTCATACCTGGCACAGTGTTTTATACCTGACACAGTGTTTTATACCTGACACAGTGTTTTATACCTGACACAGTGTTTTATACCTGACACAGTGTTTTATACCTGGCACAGTGTTTCATACCTGGCACAGTGTTTTATAACTAGTACAACTTGTCATAACTGGCACAGTGTTTCATACCTAGCACAGTGTTTAATACCTGGCACAGTGTTTTATACCTGGCACAGTGTTTTATACCTGGCACAGTGTTTCATACCTGGCACAATGTTACATACCTGGCACAGTTTTTTATACCTGGCGCAGTGTTTTATACCTGGGACAGTGTTTTATAACTAGTAGAACTTGCCATACCTGGAACGGTGTTTCATACCTGGCACAGTGTTTTATACCTGGCACAGTGTTTTATACCTAGTACAACTTGTCATACCTGGCACAGAGTTTCATACCTGGAACAGTGTTTCATACCTGGCAAAATGTTTTATACCTGGCACAGTGTTTCATACCTGGCACAGTGTTTCATACCTGGCAAAGTGTTTTATACCTGGCACAGTGTTTTATAACTAGTACAACTTGTCATACCTGGCACAGTTTTTCATACCTGGCACAGTTTTTTATACCTGGCACAGTGTTTTATACCTGGTAAAGCGTTTTATACCTGGCACAGTGTTTTATACCTGGCACAGTGTTTCATACCTCGCACAGTATTTCATACCTGGCACAGTGTTTCATACCTGGCACAGTGTTTTATACCTGGCACAGTGTTTCATACCTGGCACAGTGTTTTATAACTAGTACAACTTGTCATAACTGGCACAGTGCTTCATACCTGGCACAGTGTTTCATACCTGGCACAGTGTTTTATACCTGGTACAGTGTTTTATACCTGCCACAGTGTTTCATACCTGGCACAATGTTTCATACCTGGCAGAGTGTTTTATACCTGGCACAGTGTTTCATACCTGTCACAGTGTTTCATACCTGGCACAGTGTTTCATACCTGGCACAGTGTTTCATACCTGGCAAAGTTTTTTATACCTGGCGCAGTGTTTTATACCTGAGACAGTGTTTTATAACTAGTAGAACTTGCCATACCTGGAACGGTGTTTCATACCTGGCACAGTGTTTTATACCTGGCACAGTGTTTTATACCTAGTACAACTTGTCATACCTGGCACAGTGTTTCATACCTGGAACAGTGTTTCATACCTGGCAAAATGTTTTATACCTGGCACAGTGTTTTATAACTACTACAACTTGTCATACCTGGCACAGTGTTTCATACCTGGGACAGTGTTTTATAACTGGCACAGTGTTTTATACCTGATACAGTGTTTTATACCTGGCACAGTGTTTCATACCTGGCACTGTGTTTCATACCTGGCACAGTGTTTCATACCTGGCACAGTGTTTCATACCTGGCACAGTGTTTCATACCTGGCACAGTGTTTCATACCTGGCACAGTGTTTCATACCTGGCACAGTGTTTCATACCTGGCACAGTGTTTCATACCTATATAACTAGTACAACTTGTCATAACTGGCACAGTGTTTCATACCTAGCACAGTGTTTAATACCTGGCACAGTGTTTTATACCTGGCACAGTGTTTTATACCTGGCACAGTGTTTCATACCTGGCACAGTGTTTCATACCTGGCACAGTGTTTTATACCTGGCACAGTGTTTCATACCTGTCACAGTGTTTCATACCTGGCACAGTGTTTCATACCTGGCATAGTGTTTCATACCTGGCACAGTGTTTCATACCTGTCACAGTGTTTCATACCTGGCACAGTGTTTCATAACTAGTACAACTTGTCATAACTGGCACAGTGTTTTATAACTAGTACAACTTGTCATACCTGGCACAGTGTTTCATAACTAGTACAACTTGTCATACCTGGTACAGAGTTTCATACCTGGCACAGTGTTTCATACCTGGCACAGTGTTTTATAACTAGTAAAACTTGTCATACCTGGGACAGTGTTTTATAACTAGTACAACTTGTCATACCTGGCACAGTGTTTCATAACTAGTACAACTTGTCATACCTGGCACAGAGTTTCATACCTGGCACAGTGTGTTACTCTGGTACAAAGTGTCTTATATGATGAAAACTACAACTGAAATAAGCACTATCTTTATAGAATCAATTGAAATATTGTCCATGACATGTCCATCAGACGAGGACACAATAGTTAGATTGATGCTAAATTTGATTTTTCTTTCATCATACATCTTACCCCTGTGGTCAGCAGTTTGCCATATTCTTAATCTCAGAGCTGCACAACTTAAAATATGAGGCGGGCCGTAATACTTTATAAGAGACTTGTGCGGGTGGAAAGCAGATAGGACGGGGCATAGCTATTAAGAAAATAGTAATAATAAAGAGTATTTCTTTAATTCGCGGGTCGCAAAGAAGGTATTAGCGGGCCTCATGCGGCCCACGGGTCATATATTGTGCAGGCCAGCTTTTATCTGATAAGCCTAGCAATATCGATTTCTAGCTTTATCAGTTGCGCCTAGCAATTTCAATGTCTATCTTTATCAGTTTGACCTACCAATTACAACGTCTAGCTTTATCATTTGGGCCTAAAGTGGACAATGTCCAGCTTTATCAAATGGACCTCGACTTTAAAATGTTCATTTCAACTTACTTAGTCTAGCAGTGTCTATGTCCATCTTTATCAGATAGCTCTTAGAGATCCTATTGTATGCCATGTGCTAGTATTGTTAAGTCTATCCATCATATTACTGTCAATATATTTAGTATTGTAAAAGTGTATATGTCGTATCACCATCATTATATTCTTATATAAGTATAATATTTTGCCTGCACGTCTTTAATATCAATGGGACTTAATTTAGCCAAAATTCACAAAAAAAATGAGTGAAGTGTGTACGATTTACCTCCCCTTTTTGAACTGGTGCTGCCGTTGTCGTCGAAGTGGTCGTTGTGGGAGCAGCTGTCGTTACTACTGCAGATGGTGGCTGTGTCGTAGGACAAGGCTGTCAAACAAATACTGTATTTTAATATAACTTTCAATTTTTTTATATTTTTTTTTTACATTTTTGTTATATTTCTCTAGAAGAAAATACTTAGAACAAGAAACCGTTGGTAAATTGTGTCCCTTTACAGCGTTACTTTTTTTTATGGCAGTGTCCTGAAATGTGGGTGACAACATTTGTGCCAAAGAAAATGTTTCGACGAAAGTGCTGCACTCCTGGTTTAAGAACCCCTGGCTTAGGTAGAACTCACACCTTCAAGACAAAGAAGTCCTACTTCTAGAATGGCCCGCCTGTAATACACAGAATACCTACTCCTAGAATAACACCTGTAATACAAAGTATACCTACTCCTAGAATATCACCTGTAATACAAAGTATACCTACTCCTAGAATATCACCTGTAATACAAAGAATACCTACTTATAGAATATCACCTGTAATACAAACAATACCTAATCCTAGAATGTCACACCGGTAATAAAAAGAATACCTACTCCTAGAATGTCACACCGGTAATAAAAAGAATACCTACTCCTAGAATGTCACACCGGTAATAAAAAGAATACCTACACCTAGAATGACACACCGGTAATAAAAAGAATACCTACTCCTAGAATGTCACACCGGTAATAAAAAGAATACCTACACCTAGAATGACACACATGCACAACAGCAACTGACTTACGGTAAAACGGACGCTGACTACGGCCGGACTTTTGCTTCTCAACGGACCTGGGGTTTGACCCCTGTCGTAGGCGTAAGCGTAGAACGTTACGACCGTGCCGGCAGGCATTGCTTGGTTTACGACTACTTCCCCTCCTGTACCGACGCTGACAGAACCGCCAGAACCTCTGAGAAATAATTCGGAAAGTCATTTTAGTATTTTAATTCTTAATTAATTATTGCTTTTGAACAGAGCTTTGAAAAAATGGAAATAGATATTAGCTGGAAAATAGTTCATGAAAAATATTGAATTAGAACTTTTAACTAGAATAGAGTTTACCCTCAATAACTTATTAATGTAGAATGGGTCTTGAAAAAGATCTCTATTAAATTTAAAGTTAAAATATGGTTTAACTAGAGAATCTACAATATAATTTTCCTCACGGTAAATAATTTCCCGAAATGTATAGAAAGTCATTTGTTTTCCTCAATCGGTCATAATTTATCTTCATCTATGTCTGAGTTATAAACTTAGGCTACTTCCTTCCTGGTGCATAGTATCATTTGAAACTAACTTGTGTAGTGAGTTTGGGCATCTCAATTGATATATAGAGACACATTATATCTAGTTTTTCTCACAAAACTACATAAAACAAGATACAACTAAATTACTCTCACACAAAACAATCCAACATCGCATACAACTAAATTACGCACTCACAACCCAAAATACAACTAAATTAATCCCTTACTAAAAGCATAATGTTTAACACAAATGAGCAATTCAATCATAATGCAATTTACTAATGACCTATTCACTACATATACAACATAATAGTAAATGATGAAACATAAAATTATTAAGAAAATAACTCATAACACAACTCAATACAACAAACCATTGATATATTCATTCACAATACAACAGACATTAGATCTACTTACTCAAAATACAATATACTAAGATAGTCCATTATAAAACAAACATAAACCTGAACTAACTCAACACAATATACAGCTGAAGAGCTCACTCGCAACTCAACAAAATACAGTATATAACATCATAACACATTCATCCCTCAACCATGTCACAAATGACCAGGGCAGGGTGTAACAATGGCGCTCCATTGCATATTCATATGAGTAATAATGCTATTTTGTTCAGGTTTTCCCATGGGTTACACCACGTTAGCTGGATTTTGAATGGGTGTGGGACGATTTCCGGGAGAGGAGAAAAAAAAAGTTTTTGAGATTAAGGAGCGTGGAAGATTACTGAATGTTTTGGAAAGCGTTAAAGACCAATGGATGTTAACGGTGAAAGGGAATATTGTTAGGCTGTATTGGATCTATTAATACATTCTTTGTTGATAATTGTTTATGAAGAATGTATTGGTCATTCTTTGAAGTATGTGTTGTCTTCGTTGTATGTCCTCAACGTCTGGACACTGAACCTTCACAGAGAGGAGCAACCCCTGCATCAACCAACACCAATACTACTTTGTACGCAACGCGCTATACCTCATACTACCATCATCTAAGCTGTGACAAACCAAATGTGGCATCAAAAACTCAAAAAAATTCAGCATACAACACATTAACTCACTAATAACTCTTTGAACTACAGCCTAAAAATAGTAACTCAATCATAACTCAACAAACTACAGCACACAACATAGTAACTCACTAATAACACAACAAAATACAGCATACAACAGAATAACTCACTCATAATACAAGACATTGTTCCCTTCCCGTGCCGAGTCTTTATCTGTAGCTGTGATGGTCAGCAGTTTGGTACCTGGAGAGTTTGCACAATTGCTAGTTTTAGGATTTGATCACTAAGTGTTGTTTAGTTTAAAATACATGTATACAAAATTCAAGCGTTTACATTTTACTGTGTTACAACTGTTACAAAATTCAGCGTTATATCTCACTGATGTGTTACAGAAAGTTCGTTTTCTTGTGTAAAAAAACTTTGTGTTAGTGATGTCACTCACCTGCTGGAGTGCATTCTGTGGCTGCTGCGGTGTACGTCTGCACAGCCTCAAATACAGGGGCGTTGTCATTGCAGTCCACAAATGTTATTATACAAGTAGCTGTAGCGGTCAGCCCCCCTTTGTCTGTCACCTGATCAAGAAAGAAAGAGGTAGCAATTATAAAATCCACCAATTATGTTTTTACAACATCCAATTATCTTTAGAAGACAAGATGTTGTTTCTAGTAGGCAGAGCCATGGCCTGGGCCATGCTAGAGTAATAATAATAATAATTTCATGCCATGCTAGTAGGCAGATTAAAAGCTAGGGCCATGCTAATAGGCAGTACCCTGGTCTGGGCCATGCTAGTAGGCAGATCAGAAGCTAGGGCCATGCTATTAGGCAGATCAGAAGCTAGGGGCCATGCTAGAAGGCAGATCAGCAGCTAGGGCCATGCTAGAAGGCAGATCAGCAGCTAGGGCCATGCTAGAAGGCAGATCAGCAGCTAGGGCCATGCTAGAAGGCAAATCAGCAGCTAGGGCCATGCTAGAAGGCAAATCAGCAGCTAGGGCCATGCTAGAAGGCAAATCAGCAGCTAGGGCCATGCTAGAAGGCAGATCAGCAGCTAGGGCCATGCTAGTACCCAAAGCCCCAGCTTAAGCCATACAAAGCATGACTCAAAAAGTCACACATGACTCTCATATTAGGTGACTCAGATTTTTAAAAAAGAAGTTATTATTTGGTCAAGCGACTGAGCCAGTAAATGTTTACACCCAACAGCATCCAAGCAAGCAAATCAGTCACATGATCTGTTTTACTATAAGTCATGATAAATAACTGGATAAACAAAAGTCACATTAACCTGATATCCAAAGTTCATTTGACCGAAGTTCACAGCACTGACCCAAATACACTAGTTTATGATATTACAAGTGTAACCAAAGCTCACAGCACTGACCCAAATACACCAGTTCATGATATTTCCCGCTTAGCCAGCTCACAACATTGACTCAAGTGCATTAGGTCATGATATGTACAAGTTTAACCAAAGCTCACAGCACTAACCCAAATAAACTAGTTCATGATATTAGGATTATGACCCATAAAGACTAAGTATATGAATCTAGGATTATGAACTATAAGTCAGGATACTGACCACCACATTTAAGGTCTTAGGACTGGCCAATGGAGTTGGCTGGTCAGCCTCGTAGTCAAGTAATGTCTTTATGAGGCCCGTGTTCTCATCAATGCCGAAGTGGCCCCTAACGTTGGCATTAGTTGAATGATAGGTCCATGTCTGTGTGTCCACTGCGTCGGGGTCAAGGACGCTGAATCCACAGTTGATTTCTTGCTGAGGACATTGAAATGTTGTATAGAAGTATCGATTGGCCATTGCTATATTGTATAAAAGCATTTAGAGAACATTTAGATGTTGTAAAGAAGCATCTAGACTCTTGCAAACATTGGTATGTTATATAGAAGCATTTAGAAAACATTGGTATGTTATATAGAAGCATGTAGAAAACATTGGTATGTTATATAGAAGCATTTAGAAAACATTGGTATGTTATATAGAAGCATTTAGAAAACATTGGTATGTTATATTGAAGCATTTAGAAAACATTGATATGTTATATAGAAGCATTTAGAAAACATTGGTATGTTATATAAAAGCATATTGAGAACATTAATATGTAGGTTAGAACCATCTAGAGGACATTGAGATAATATAGTAAATAAGAATTTATTGAACATTGTAATTGGTTTAGAGTCGCGGTTCCCAAGCTGGGGTAAACGTACTCCTGGGGTTACGTTACAAATAGTTTATTTATATTTTCTAGTTTCATGGGATATTTATTTTATTGCTTTGCTAATTTTTTGGATTTTAAAAATGTTTCATTATTTGTACAACTAGAAACTGAAATAATTTTAAAATGACATTTCATTATTTACTCAGTAATTTCATTAGCTTTATTTGTGAAATGTAATTACTTAGTTAATTATTTCATCAGCTTTATATGCAACATTTAATTACTCAATTTCATCAGCTTTATATGCAAAATGTAATTATTTACTCAATTTCATCAGCTTTGTATGCGAAATTTAATTATTTACTCATTAGTTTCATCAGTTTTATATGCGAATTTTAATGACTTACTCAATTTCATCAGCTTTATATGCAAAATTTAATTATTTACTCAATTTCATCAGCCTTATATGCGACATTTAATTATTTACTCAATAGTTTCATCAGCCTTATATGCGACATTTAATTATTTAGCTAATATTCATATTTTAATATGTTTTAGGCCTGAGTGGGGGGTACTTGAAAAGGGGGATGGTGTACTTATACATGAAAAGTATTTATCAGGGATATTTGTGTAAAACAAAAGGTGGGGCACCGCTGAGTTCGAGAATACTTCACAGTTGATGAAATAGAATGGTTCTAATAATTTAGTTGAGACGGGCTTCACGTCTGCAATAATTATTCTTACCATTCCTTCACAGACTTGAACGTAGGCGACTATTGGGGAGATTGTTGGTGGTTCATTGACATCTGTCACCTGGTCAAAAAGAATACAACTTATTCGAATATTGCTGGTTAAATATTGGGATTTGAACCGATTGTTAGAGACATTCATACTGAAAATATCTTTGATGTTCATTATTAACATCCTCTCTCCAAGATAGTAAACAATTGTGTACACAGACATCAATTTTAACTCTGTATATAATAATATAATTTGAGAAGCTCTGACCAAAGAGACACTCCCCGAAATCTGATTCGTCTCTTACACACAGCCGCGTACACAAATATTTAACGCCAATTCGACCCACGACTGAAAGGGTCAGCTATACAGAAAATAAAGGTGCAAATATCGTTTGTCGAACTCAATTGATCAACGACCTGAATGGCGAATGCGGGGACCTTGTCAATGAGGCTCGAATACTCTCTAACTTTGGTGTGAACTATTTTCGGCAAGGGTAAGGTTTCCATTATATCTGTTCTACGAAGCTTCTCAAAAGATCGAGTATGGCTTGTAGATATCTACAATACTATGGTTATTTAAAATATGTCAGCCTATTATGGAATGATATTCTAGCCTAAAAACTATTTTTAGGATACAAGTGATGTACGTTGTATGTTGGTAATAAATTATTGATTTTATTTTAACATTCAATTACTTTTTTTTAAATGAACTTGTCAAAGAATCAGTTTCTTCATTTGATTAAGTCCTTGACCTTGGACTAAAAAATGGTGTGAACCAATGTGCAACTTACCTCTAGCCTGAGTGTGTACTGTGCAATGTGCAACTTACCTCTAGCCTGAGTGTGCACTTTGCAATGTCCAACTTACCTCTAGTCTGAGTGTGTACTGTGCAATAAGCAACTTACCTCTAGCCTGAGTGTGCACTTTGCAATGTCCAACTTACCTCTAGTCTGAGTGTGCACTTTGCAATGTCCAACTTACCTCTAGTCTCTGTGCAATGTCCAAATTACCTCTAGTATGAGTGTATACTGTGCAATGTCCAACTTACTTCTAGCCTGAGTGTGTACTGTGCAATGAACAACATACCTCTAGCCTTAGCGTGCAATGTCCAACTTACCTCTAGCCTCAGTGTGTACGGTGGAGAAGTACAATATCCATCTGTTACTTGGATGATGGTATCTGTTATCCTCAGAGCTGATTTCTCGTAGTCCAAGGCTGATACAATGTCAATGTTGCGACTCTTGCCTGGATTGTAGCAGTATAATAGAATGGAAATATTACTGCCGGTTTACTTACAGATTAAAATACACACATTAAATATTACAATGGAAATACTATATGTTATAAGACACATTAAATATAACAATATTGTATGTTATAATACTCATATTAAGTATTACAATAGAAATATTATATGAAATAAGACCCATATCGAGTATTAAAGTAGAAATACTTTATGCTATAAGTCATATATTAAGTATTACAATAGAAAAAATACATGTTATAAGACACATATTAAGTATTGCAATAGAAATAGTATACTTTATTAGAAATATATCAAATATTTAAAAAAAAGTATTATTTATTGTTAAACATGCATTAAACGCTATAAATACCGCATTAAATATTACAATAGAAATATTTTAGTTCTAAACATAAAATACTATACAATACAAATACTATAGGTTATAAGAGGCATCTATAAATTATAAATAATATAATCTATGAGATACATATCAAATACTATACAATATAAATATTATAGGTATAAATAGTGTCAAAAGCAACATCCCCATGGAACTGAGCGCTTATGTAAGCATGTAACTCTCAATTATAACAACGTTACACCTAAAATAAATATATTCAACTGGTCGTCTCAATTGTAACAACGTTACAACTAAATCTATATTCAACTGGTCATCTCAATTGTAACAACTTTGCAACTGAATCTATATTCAGCTTGTCGTCTAAATTATATTGAGATTACTTTTGTTAGAAACATACACTGTCCCAAAATCTAACTGACCTTCCTTTTGTTCCAAACAGACACACTCCCAAATCTAACTGACCTTCCTTTTGTTCCAAGCAGACACACTCCCAAATCTAACTGACCTTCCCTTTGTTCCAAGCATTCACACTCCCAAATCTAACTGACCTTCCTTTTGTTCCAAGCAGACACACTCCCAAATCTAACTGACCTTCCTTTTGTTCCAAGCAGACACACTCCCAAATCTAACTGCCCTTCCTTTTGTTCCAAACATACACACTCCCAAATCTAACTGACCTTCCTTTTGTTCCAAGCAGACACACTCCCAAATCTAACTGACCTTCCCTTTGTTTCAAGCATAGACACTCCCAAATCTATCTGACCTTCCTTTTGTTCCAAGCAGACACACTCCCAAATCTAACTGACCTTCCTTTTGTTCCAAGCAGACACACTCCTAAATCTAACTGACCTTCATTTTGTATCAGACATACCAAGAGCTAAATAACTGACATTCCATCTTGAACAGTGATAATCCAACAGTGTTTGTTGATAAAAGATCAAACATTCTACGTTGACCTGTACTGACCGTCCATCTTGTACTGGGCCAGTCCAGCTGGATTTGATGTTGTCACTGTGTAAGATATTGCGTCACCATTACCATCTTTCATGACCATTTTGTAAGCAGTTCCAGTGGCGTCCTCGGGTATCTGGACAGTGGCGTCAAGGTTGGTAGCGACAGGGGCGACGTTCGCATCTAGATTTGGGGAGACAATAGTTTACTATGAAATTCATTATGTTGACTGATCACAGTAAAACATACAGATTGAATAGTTATAAAAGATGAATTTTTGCACCACATAACGCTATGTTAATTGTCCTGAAGGCTTGCACTACGAAACATTATGTTTTTTTCATAATGGTTTGCACTACATAATTTTGTGTTTATTGTTATGAAGGTTAGCACCACGTAATACTGTGTTGATTGTCATGTAGGTTTGCACAAAATAACATTAATTTTTATTATCGTAAGGATTTTCACTACATAACGATATGTTTATTGTCATGAAGGTTTGCACTACATAACGTTCTGTTTATTGTCATGAAGGTTTGCACTACATAACGTTCTGTTTATTGTCATGAAGGTTTGCACTACATAACGTTCTGTTTATTGTCCGTAACGAGGTAGGGGCCACGTCATTGACGGCCATTATGACATGGCATAAATGTAAACTATAAAATCAAATCCACTTACATGATATGGAATTGTCAATCACCAGAGGTCCAACCGTGTTCTTTCCATCAGTCATTGTCACCTGGAATGTGACGTCATTAGTGCACTCCTTCTTCATAGGGACCGTTGTTTTAATAATACCCGTATCTAGCAGAGAAGAGGAACTTTTGTTAGAGGATAGGCAAGAGGGACTTTTGTTATAGGATAGGCAAGAGGGAATTTTGTTAGAGGATAGGCAAGAGAGACTTTTGTTAGATGATAGGCAAGAGGGAATTTTGTTAGAGAATAGGCAAGAGGGACTTTTGTTAGATGATAGGCAAGAGGGACTTTTGTTAGATGATAGGCAAGAGGGAATTTTGTTAGATGATAGGCAAGAGGGACTTTTGTTAGATGATAGGCAAGAGAGACTTTTGTTAGATGATAGGCAAGAGGGACTTTTGTTAGATGATAGGCAAGAGGGACTTCTGTTAGATGATAGGTAAGATGGACTTTTGTTATAGGATAGGCAAGAGGGAATTTTGTTAGAGGATAGGCAAGAGAGACTTTTGTTAGATGATAGGCAAGAGGGAATTTTGTTAGAGAATAGGCAAGAGGGACTTTTGTTAGATGATAGGCAAGAGGGACTTTTGTTAGATGATAGGCAAGAGGGAATTTTGTTAGATGATAGGCAAGAGGGACTTTTGTTAGATGATAGGCAAGAGAGACTTTTGTTAGATGATAGGCAAGAGGGACTTTTGTTAGAGGATAGACAAATAAGATGACCTTTTGTTACAGGATAGACAAGATGGAATTGTGTTATAAATAGACCAAAGGGACTTTTGTTATAAATAGACCAAAGGGACTTTTGTTATAAATAGATCAAAGGGACTTTTGTTAGAAATAGACCAAAGGGGACTTTTGTTAGAGGTAGACAAGAGGGACTTTTGCTTATACAGATAATGACTCTGCTTATAAAGCTAATTCTAGTCCCCCAAAGAAACACGTTTTTTAACCTCCAACACAGTTATAAGTGACAGTATTGTCACTGTGACAAAAGCACAGTTATAAGTGACAGTATTGTCACTGTGACAAAAGCACAGTTATAAGTGACAGTATTGTCACTGTGACAAAAGCACAGTTATAAGTGAAAAAAATAAATGAAGGGACTGCTTCAAGCTTCCACATACCTCGTTTCACTATTTCATAGTTATAAGTGACAGTATTGTCAAACCATAAAGTTTCTCTGACAAGGGTACTATTTATTTTTGGCAAATTAAATATTATGTAGGGAGAAAGGTAATCTTGATTTTCGAAACAGACGACAGTGTGACACAGGTGACAGTGTGATCTAATTGATAATGTAACACAGGCGACAGTGTGACACAGGTGACAGTGTAATCTAGGTGATAATGTAATACAGGCGACAGTGTGACACAGGTGACTGTGTAATCCAGGTGGCAGTGTAAAATAGATGACAGTGTGACACATGTGGAGTTCGTCTAAAAATCATGACAGTATAACATAAATGTGATCTAGGTGATAATGTTACACATCCGACAGTGTGACACAGGTGACAGTGTGATCTAGGTGATAATGTAACACATTCAACAGTGTGACGTATGTGACAGTTTTACATACGTGACAGTGTGACACATGTGGAAGTCTAAAAAACATGACATTGACGAAGTTGACAGTGTGACCCGGGGGACAGTGAAACACAGGTAACAGTCTAACAAATATGACAGTGTGATACAGATGACAGTGTGACACATGTTACTGTGTGATACAGATGACAGTGTGACACATGTTACTGTGTGATACAGATGACAGTGTGACACATGTTACTGGGTGATACAGATGACAGAGTGACACACATGTTACTGTGTGATACAGATGACAGTGGGGCATATGTAACAGTGTAAGTGGCAAGGAAATGTATGTACATTTTTATATGTAAATCAGCAACATGAGCAAAGAGAAGTAATGCAGAAATGAAAGACTAATTATCTAAATCTTCTTACGCTGGTCAATCTCATAGTTCACGGACGAAGAAGATGGGATGACCTTGAGGGTGTATGTGACGTCATCAGTCTCGGGGTCAAAGGAGTCCACATCGTAGATTTGTGCTCCAGCCGCTACCGATGAATCGATGGTTATGGGAACTGAAATCATAAAGACAAACTCTGATTTAGGCAACTGAAATGATAAAGACAAACACTGATTTCGACAACTGTTATTATAGAGACAAACACAGGTTTGGGCAACTGAAATTATAGAGACAAATACTGGTTGAAGCAACTGTTATTATAGAGACAAACACTGGTTTAGGCAACTGAAATTATAGAGACAAATAGTGGTTTTGGCAACTGAAATTATAGACACAAATACTGGTTGAAGCAACTGTTATTATAGAGACAAACACTGGTAAACACAGATTTAGGAAACTGAAATTATAAAGACAAACACTGAATTAGGAAACTGTTATTATAAAGTCAAACACAGGTTTAGGAAACTGAAATTATAGAGAAAACACCGGTTGGGGCAACTGAAATTATAGAGACAAATACTGGTTGAAGCAACGGTTATTATAGAGACAAACACTAGTTTAGGCAACTGAAATTATAGAGACAAATACTGGTTGAAGCAACTGTTATTATAGAGACAAACACTAGTTTAGGCAACTGAAATTATAGAGACAAATACTGGTTGAAGCAACTGTTATTATAGAGACAAACACTAGTTTAGGCAACTGAAATTATAGAGACAAACACTGGTTGAAGCAACTGTTATTATTGAGACAAATCCTGGTTTAGGCAACTTAAATTATAGAGACAAATAATGAATTAGGCAACTGAAACTATGGTAACAAACACTGGTTTAGGCAACTGAAATTATAGAGACAAACACTAGTTTAGGCAACTGAAATTATAGAGACAAACACTGGTTGAAGCAACTGTTATTATTGAGACAAATCCTGGTTTAGACAACTTAAATTATAGAGACAAATACTGAATTAGGCAACTGAAACTATGGTAACAAACACTGGTTTAGGCAACTGAAATTATAGAGAAAACACAGGTTTGGGAAACTGAAATTATAGAGTTAAAATATGATTGAAGCAACTGTTATTATAGAAACAAACACTGGTTTTGGCAACTGAAATTATAGATAAAACTTTGGTTGGGAAAACAGAAATTATAGAGACAAACACTGGTTGAAGCAACTGATATTATTAAGACAAACACTGGTTTAGGCAACTGAAATTATAAAGAAAACACTGGTTTGGGCAACTGAAATTATAGAGACAAACACTGGTTGAATCAACTGAAATTATAGAGACAAACACTTGTTTAGGCAACTGTTATTATAGATACAAACACGGTTTTTGGCAACTGAAATTATAGAGAGAACACTGGTTGAATCAACTGTCATTTTTGTGCCATTTTTGTATATCTGTTTCTATATCTGTCTCTTTCAATGTTTCTATAACTGCTTTTATCTCTGCTTTTAAATACTTTACTACCATGTTTCATCTATTTTTCTATCTTTGTCTCGACCTCTCTTTTCTATTTCTTTTCATGTTTCTATTTATTTTTTTCTATCCCTGTTTCAATCTCTGTTGCTAGCCTTATGTCTAGCTCTGTTTCTGTCTCTGTTTCTATCCCTGATTATATTTTTAAATAAAAATCCATTTTTGTTTCTATAACTCTTTGTGTCTCTGTTTCTATATAAATTTCTTGATTTCTATCTCTTTTTATCTCTCTATTTTTTTCTATGTTTATGTCCCTCTTTTTTATGTCTCCGTTTCTGTCTTCTTTCTATCTTTGTTTCTATTTGTTTCTATGTCTGTTTCTATCCGTTTACATCTGTTTCTATCTTTGTATCTCTGTTTCAATGTCTGTTTCTATATCTGTTTCCATTTCTGTTTCTTTTCGTTTCAATCTCTGTTTCATGAATATATAAATTTTTATTATACTAGGATTGATACCTTAATGACAACATACAAGTTTTATTTGTTTTCGCCTTTTCAATATGTTTTATGTATAAATAATCAATACTTTTCATATTACCTTTTCAATTCACATACAGCTTATTTCTAATAGTCCATTATATTTTATTATTTTTTATCTTATTTTTTATCCTACAAAATATCCTTCAAAAGCGAATGTTCTTGCAAAAGAATTAAAATATAATGTATGACATCACAGCTCCTTACATAGACAAAGAAAATGATATAGGCCTGCCATACAATTTGTCTGGATCATAGAGAGGTTAGGGTTAGGGATGACTGAGATAGTCAGGTGTCTAACCCTTAGAAAGACAAAAAAAATGATGTAGGCCTACCATGCAATTGGTCTGGATCATAGAGAGGTTATGGAATACTTACGTTATGGTTAGGGTTAGGGATGACTGAGATAGTCAGGTGTCTAACCCTTAGAAAGACAAAGAAAATGATGTAGGCCTACCATACAATTGGTCTGGATCATAGCAAGGTTAGGGTTAGGGATGACTAGGTAATCAGGTGTCTAGCCCTTAGAAAGACAAAGAAAATGATTTAGGCCTACCATACAATTTGTCTGAATCATAGAGAGGTTAGGGTTAGGGATGACTGAGATAGTCAGGTGTCTAACCCTTAGAAAGACAAAGAAAATGGTGTAGGCCTACCATACAATTGGTCTCGATCATAGCAAGGTTAGGGTTAGGGATGACTAGGTAATCAGGTGTCTAACCCTTAGAAAGACAAAGAAAATGATTTAGGCCTACCATACAATTTGTCTGAATCATAGAGAGGTTAGGGTTATGGATGACTGAGATAGTCGGGTGTCTAACCCTTAGAAAGACAAAGAAAATGATGTAGGCCTACCATACAATTTGTCTGGATCATAGCGAGGGGGTGCGTTAGGAACGACAGCAACCTCAATCACCTCTGTCACCGGCGTCTCCTTGTTGTCGGTGCACGAAATGGTGATGAGATAAAATGGAGTTACCGTGAAATCCATTGTACCCACCCCTGCTCTGTACTGGAGACACTCTGCTGGAGATTGAAATAATTAGAAATTAATATTACATCGTTATTGTATACAATTATATTGCATATACATACAATGCCAGTTAAGATAATAATGAAATAGTCATAAAATAAGCTATATCCATAAATAAGCTATATCCAAAGGATTAAATTATTATTGCTTATATATAAAAAAACTGTAAAATTATGTCCATGGAGCTAATGTCTAGATATATCCATTTAGTTTGCTATGTACAAATGTCTAGATATAGCTATCTGGTTAGCTATGTACACATGTCTTTATATAGCCATCTGGTTAGCTATGTTGAAAGGTTTAGATATATCAACAGTTTATTATATACAAAAAGTTTTGATATGTCGATACGGTTAACTACATCCATCATTTTAGATATTCCATAAGGTTAGCTGTATCCATAATTTTAGATATTCCATATACATCTTTCAAAAGGTGAATCATCAACTTAGTTTTGTTTAGTTTAGCTATGTTAATAGGTTAGCTATGTTCATTAGTTTAGCTATGTTAATAGGTTAGCTAAGTTCATTAGTTTAGCTACATTCTTAAGTGTTTCTGTGCCTACCAGTTCCACAATTCAAAACTTCAAAGCACTTGCTGCAAGGACTGGTAGGAGACATCGACTTGACCGATGTCGTGGTGACGTCACCGTCAGTGTCAGTGCAGACTATGGTGGACAATATTTCGTTGACCGTCGCATCCTCACTGACCGTGGCGGCCTTCTTGAACGACGTTATGCTGGGCTGAAACAGAGTTTTGAAAACATCATCTGTCGTTAGTAGGGGACCAAACAGACGGCTACAAGTAGTTTAAGCATATTCTTTAGGGGCTGAGCTGGCAAGACATCAGCATGCTTGTAAGACTTTAACATGTCCATTTTTATATCAGCATGTCTAGTCTGAAATTAGCCTGTCTGCTGAGCACAACAGTATAATGAGTTCATTCAGTGCGATGGACCCAACAAAAAATACCCTACTCCCAGAGCTAGGCACTACAGTATAATGAGTACATTAAGTTAGATTCAGCCAATTCCCATTGCTAGCCACTACAGTATTATGTGTCCATTAAGTGGGACTCACCCCCAAAACTTACCTTACTCCCAGACTCACCTCATAAACTTACCCTACTCTCAGACTCAGCTCCTAAACTTAACCTACTCTCAGACTCACCTCCTAAACTTAACCTATTCCCAGACTCACCTCCTAAACTTAACCTACTCCCAGACTCACCTCCTAAACTTAACCTACTCCCAGACTCACCTACAAAAGTTACCCTTTTCCAAGGCTCAACCTCCCAAACTACCCTACTCCCAGGCTCAACCTCCCAAACTACCCTACTCCCCGCGCTGGGCATCCAGGTGACATTATGAAACGTGCGGTCTAAGGGTTAAGTTAATATGTCAGTGCTGGCAGTCGGGTGTCTCTGTGGGTGAAGCCAATAGGTCAGTGCTGGCAGTCGCGTGTCTCTGTGGGTGAAGTCAATAGGTCAGTGCTGGCAGTTGGGTGTCTCTGTGGGTGAAGTCAATAGGTCAGTGCTGGCAGTCGGGTGTCTCTGTCGGTTAAGTCAATATGTCAGTGCTGGCAGTCGGGTGTCTCTGTGGGTGAAGTCAATATGTCAGTGCTGACAGTCGGATGTCTCTGTCGGTTAAGTCAATATGTCAGTGTTGACAGACGGATATTCATGAGGGTGAAGTCCATATGTCAGTGGTAACAGTCTGGTGTCTCTGTGGGTGAAGTCAATATGTCAGTGATGGAAGTCGGGTGTCTCTGTGGGTGAATTCAATATGTCAGTGCTGACAGTTGGATGCCTCTGTGGGTGAATTCAATATGTCAGTGCTGACAGTTGGATGCCTCTGTGGGTGAAGTCAATATGTCAGTGCTGACAGTTGGGTGTCTCTGTGGGTTTAGTCAATATGTCAGTTCTGACAGTTGTGTTTTTCTGTGGGGGAAGTCAATATGTCAGTTCTGACAGTTGGATGTCTCTGAGGGTTAAGTTAATATGTCAGTTCTTACAGTCTGGTGTCTCTGTAGGGAGAGTAAATATGTCAGTGCTGACAGTCAGATGTCTATGTGGGTGAAGTCAATATGACAGTGATGACGGTAGGATGTCTCCCTGGGTGAAGTCAATATGTCAGTGCTGACAGTCAGATGTCTATGTGGGTGAAGTCAATATGACAGTGATGACGGTAGGATGTCTCCCTGGGTGAAGTCAATATTTCAGTGCTGACAGTCAGATGTCTATGTGGGTGAAGTCAATATGACAGTGATGACGGTAGAATGTCTCTCTGGGTTAAGTCAATATGTCAATGCTGACAGTCGGGTGTCTTTGGGGGTAAAGTCAATATGTCAGTGCTGAAAGTCGGGTGTCTTTGTGGGTAAAGTCAATATGTAAATGCTGACAGTCGGGTGTCTTTGTGGGTAAAGTCAATATGTCAGTGCTGAAAGTCGGGTGTCTTTGTGGGTAAAGTCAATATGTAAATGCTGACAGTCGGGTGTCTTTGTGGGTAAAGTCAATATGTCAGTGCTGAAAGTCGGGTGTCTCTGTGAGTCAAGTCAAATTGTCAATGCTGACAGTTGGGTGCCTCTGTGGGTTAAGTCAATATGTCAGCTGGCAGTCGGGTGTCTCTGACGTTTAATTCAATATGTCAGCTGGCAGTCGGGTGTCTCTGACGTTTAAATCAATACGTCAGCTGGCAGTCGGGTGTCTTTGACGTTTAAATCAATACGTCAGCTGGCAGTTGGGTGTCTCTGACGTTTAAATCAATATGTCAGCTGGCAGTCGGGTGTCTCTGACGTTTAAATCAATATGACAGCTGGCGGTCGGGTGTCTCTGACGCTTAAATCAATATGACAGCTGGCGGTCGGGTGTCTCTGACGCTTAAATCAATATGTCAGCTGGCAGTCGGGTGTCTCTGACGTTTAAATCAATATGTCAGTGCTGACAGTCGTGTGTCCCTGAGGGTGATAGAGGTTTCTTGTTGTCAGTAGACCATAATTTTATTTAAGCGCCAATCTTGCTTAAATCATCACACCCTCCTTACCAAATTTTTAATTTAAATTCTACAACCTTTTATTTCATACAATTTTATTCTCACACTAATACGGTGTTTAATGTGGCATTTAATGTGGCTTTTAAACTGTTATTTAATTTGGTATTTAAGTGGTATTTAATGTGGCATTTAATGTGACATTTAATGTGGCATTTAATTTTGCATTTAATGTGTTATTTAATGAAAAAAAGCAACCTACAATGCTACGGCCACGTAACAAGGAAAAAAGGGCTGGCCAAAGAAATATTGCAGGGCACCACAAGAGGAGGGAGAAGAAGAGGAAGACAAAGAAAAAAGATGGAATGATAACATCAAAGAGTGGACAGGACTAACCCTGGGCGATGCAGTGCGTAGTGCAGAAGACAGAGAGGAATGGAGGAGGATGGTTCACATGTCATCTGTGGCGTCCCAACGGTCAAATGACTAAGGGACATGAGGAGGAGGATGAGGAATGTGGCATTTAGTGTAGCATTTAATGTGTCATTTAATTTTTATTTTATTTGGTATTTAATGTGGCATTTAATATGCTATTTCATGTTGCATTTAACAAACTTAAATTAAATAACAAGATAAATAAAGGTAACATTTTTCATACTATCCAACAGACTCATGTCCTACTTTTCCTTCAATGGGGAAATGCCCTTAATTTCCTTCAATGGGGAAATGTTCTAAATTTATTTGTATTTAAATGTCAAAAACTGCTATTCCTGAAAAAATGTCCAAATTTTTTTTACTAAAACGAGACACACATGATTATCAAACTGTAATAAGACAATACACACACGATTATCAGAGTGTAATAAGACATGACAGACACGATTATCAAAATGTAAAAAGACAAGACAGACACGATTATCTAACTGCTGTAATATGACAAGAAACACACGATGATCAAACTGTAATAAGACAATACACACATGATTATTAAAATGTAATAAAACAAGACAGATACTATTATCAACCTGTAATAAGACACGACAGACAAAATTATCAAACTGTAATATGACAAGACACACACAATTATCAACGGTAATAAGTCAAGACACACACAATTATTAAACTGTAATGAGACAAGACAGACACGTTTATCAAACTGTAATAAGACAAGACAGACACAATTATCAAACTGTAATAATACAAGACACACACGATTATCAAACTGAAATAAGAAAAGACACACACGATTATCAAACTATAGGAAGACAAGACAGCAGATATGATTTTCAAACTATAAGAAGACAAGACAGACATGAATAAGCACATTCCCTTACTTACCGTGGCTGTAGCAATATCCAATAAGATTAAGATGACCATGACCGGACATGCTATGTCCGCCATCGTTGAAATGACTTGTTTCTCTGTTCCACTTGACACTTTACTTTACTTTAACGATTCAGAAAGCTACACTATATCACAAAATAGAAACAAAGCACATTCCAACTACCGAATCACATTATAGTTACCAAAACACATATTAGCAACCAAAGCACCTGATAGCAAGCGAATCCAATTATAGCACACTATTGCACTATATAGCACACTATTGCACTATTTGCTTTCGGAAATTTTTAAAGTTTAGTTAAAATATAGTCTTTACATTTTAAAAAATTAATTAATTTTAAAATCACAGAAATATGTCACGTTTTATTTGTTATATGTGCACTCATGTGAGTGTGTGGTATGTGCATTCATTTGCGATGTTGGATGTGAATTCATGTATTTGGCATGTGAATTCATGTATTTGGCATGTGAATTCATGTATTTGGCATGTGAATTCATGTATTTGGCATGTGAATTCATGTATTTGGCATGTGAATTCATGTTTATTGTTGTCGGGGTATACTTTTTTATCGTAACAATCTTTTATTGAAAGAGTTCGTCTTTCTTTCTGGTGTATAGTAAAATGATCATAGCAGAATTGTATGTGACTTCATCATAGCAAAACTGTATGTGATTTGATCATAGCACAACTGTATGTGACTTGATCATAGTAGAACTGAATGTGATTTGATCATAACAGAAGTGTATGTGATTTGATCATTTTGAAAATAGTAAAACCGTAAGTAGTGTCTGATTATTCGAGTGACAACGAGTGCTATCCCAATGGTAATTATATGCAAAGGATATCAATCAATGCTAAAATAAATGTGCATAAATTACAGTTGTCTTTGTGTTTGTTTCAATAAGATAAAAAAAAATTTTTTTTCAAGAAACCTACATTAAGAGAAATAAATACGCTTCTTTCATTTTTGTTAGAACGTATGTACGTATTAACATGGTGAACCTATGTACCTATTATCATGGTGAACCTATGTACCTATTATCATGGTGAACCTATGTACCTATTACCATGGTGAACCTATGTACCTATTATCATGGTGAACCTATGTACCTATTATCATGGTGAACCTATGTACGTATTAACATTATGAACCTACGTACGTATTAACATGGTGAACCTATGTACCTATTATCATGGTGAACATATTTACCTATTAAATGTACGTATTAACATCGTGAAACTATGTACCTATTATCATGGTGAACCTATGTACGTATTATCATGGTGAACCTATGTACGTATTAATATGGTGAACCTATGTACATATTATCATGGTGAACCTATGTACCTATTATCATGGTGAACATATGTACCTATTATCACGGTGAACCTATGTACCTATTATCACGGTGAACCTATGTACATATTAACATGGTGAACCTATGCACGTATTAACATGGTGAACCTATGTACGTATTAACATGGTGAGCCTATGTACGTATTAACATGGTGAACCTATATACGCATTATCATGGTGAACCTATGTACATATTAACATGGTGAAGCTATGTACGTATTATCATGGTGAACCTATGTACGTATTAACATGGTGAACCTATGTACGTATTAACATAAAGATATTATGTAGATATTAACATAATAAACCTATTCACATATTAACATCATAAGCCTTTTTACGTATTAGCATAATGAACATATGTACTAATTAGAATAATAACCTATTTACACGTTAACATAAAGATGTTATGCACATATTAACGTTATAAACCTATGTACGTATGTATTAACATAATGAACTCATGTACATATTAACATAATGAATCTATGTACAGATTAGCATAGTGAACCTATGTACGTATTAACATAATGAACCTTTGTACTTATTAGCATAATGAACATACGTACTATGAACATTTCCAGCATCGACAGTGATGCACTATGAACTTTTCCATCAACGCCTGAGATCGAATATGAACTTCCTGCTTTGATAATTTCCTCAATATTTTCACATATACCCTGAGACAAGGTTACCTCGCTCCCAGTTTTGCTTGAACTAAACAAGCCCCACCCAACCCTTAGTGTAAGTCCATCAGTCTTTGATCCCTCAAGGCGATACTTGCATTCAATAAGTCATGTCAAATTAAACATAATCTAAAATCAATAACCGACCGATCACAAGTCGTTCAAGTTTGCACCTTAGCTAAACAAGACCATTGACGAGGCGTTCTGCAGCTATTGTGGAGGGAGTGTCTGATGAGTGGCCTGCTATTTCAGGTGGGTAAATTGATAGTCCTTGACGTGGCCAGGTAGGTGTTGCAGGCGCTCTATACAAGCGTTCATTGAACATTACTTGAATGTATGCGTATGTTGCCTGCAAGGCATGGACTGACATATTCTCTTAACCAACTTCCCTGCACCACAATGAACTGCCATTTGGTTCAAAGTTTTCACCAATAGGATTGAGTTAAACAAAAGTGAGTGGGACTCCGGACAAGGGAAAGGGGCCGCAGACAAAGGAGTGGAGCTATGTAGTCTCAAATCTGTAGCTTCAGTTCTGTAGTCTCAGTTCTGTAGTCTCAGTTCTGTATTCTCAGTTCTGTAGTCTCAGTTCTGTATCTTCAGTTCTGTAGTCTCAGTTCTATATACTCAGGCGTATAGATATGAAGTCAGAACCTTACTAATAAGTGTTAGGATGAGTTATTTAGTGAAATTGTTTGCATTTCCTTTTTTTAAACTTCCATAATCCTAGAATATGAAATGAGCAAGCGATTAGTGGTTTGATCAATGAAATAGATTTGAAAATGTTCGTTATTTCTGTGTTATTAAAAACCAAATATCCTCTCAGTCAAAATCTATTCTTGACTACAATCTGTTGCTAATCTATCCATGACTCCGATATGATACCAATCTATCCATGACTCCAATCTGATGCCTATCCATCCACGACTACGATCTGATGCTAATATATCCATGACCTCAATCTGATGCCAATCTATCCATATTACAATTTGATGCAAATCTATCCACGACTCCAATCTGATGCCAATCTATCCACGTCTCTGATCTGATGCCAACTGTCCAAAACTTCGATCTGATGCCAATCTATCCATGACTCTGATCCGATGTCAATCTATCTACTACTCCAATTTAATGCCAATTTATCCAAGTATTTAATCTGCCAACATATCAACGACTAAATTCTAGTGCAAATCTATCCATGACTGCGATTTGATACCATTCTTTCCACAACTCCGATCTAATGCAAATCTATCCGTGACGCTGATTTTACGCCAATCTATAAAAAAAACTCCCGATTGATGCCAATCTATTCACAACTGCAATCTGATACCAAAGTATCCATGACTCCGATCTTAAGCTAATCTATCCAAGTCTCCGATCTGATGCCATATATTCAAGACTGCAATAGTTGCCACTGTATCCACGTCTTCGATCTGATACCATACTATTCAAGACTACGATCCAATTCCGGCAGCCAAAGCAGGTTTTTAAAAAAATCATTATATATATGGTGGCAATCCTAGTGTCCCCCGAAACAGCGCCCATGGTGGCAGTCCTAGTGTCCCCCGAAACAGCGCCCATGATGGCAGACCTAGTGTCCCCCGAAACAGCGCCCATGGTGGCAGTCCTAGTGTCCCCCGAAAGAGCGCCCATGATGGCAGACCTAGTGTCCCCCGAAACAGTGCCCATGGTGGCAGACCTAGTGTCCCACGAATCAGCGCCCATGATGGCAGACCTAGTGTCCCCCGAAACAGTGCCCATGGTGGCAGACCTAGTGTCCCACGAATCAGCGCCCATGGTGGCAGTCCTAGTGTCCCACGAAACAGCGCCCATGGTGGCAGTCCTAGTGTCCCCAGAATCAGCGCCCATGGTGGCAGTCCTAGTGTGCCCCGAATTAGCGCCCATGGTAGGACCCCTAGCTCCCCCAAAAAGTCTCCCAAGTTTACGTGCATCTTAAGTAAATGACAATGCCTTCATTGGTGTGTGGGGTTCATTTATTCTGAGAACCACTTTACTTCACATTTCTTCTACATTTATTTTCATATTCTCTTATTCCAATTTTCAGGATGTCAAGAAGTAGTTGAATCTTTAGAAGCATATCAAGGTGCTGGTATAGATGTTGTCAAGATGCTGGATGAAGTGTTGGTTGAGATGCTGGTTAAGTTGTTTGTTGATTCGCTGGTCAAGATGCTGGTTGGGATGCTGGTCAAGCTGCTGGTCAAGGTTTTTTTCGGATGCTTTTCAAGGTGCTGGTCAAGGTGCTTGTTGAGGTGCTGGTATAGATGATTTCAAGGTGCTGGTTGATTTGCTGGTCAATGTGTTGGTCAACGTATTGGTCAAGGTGGTGGTCAAGGTGATGTTCGAAGTGTTGGACCAAGCCAGTTTTAGTGAAAAATCTTCTCTTAGTAATGTGTTCTCAACATTACCCTATGATAATTTTTAAATCTTGGGCTATCGCCAACCGGATGGGTTGATATTTTGGCCAGCCCCAGTCCTCGATAACAAACTCAGCAATTGGTTGAAAATGCCGCTAGATAATATCAAGAAAAGTTACTTCTCTGCAAGCGCCTTCTACACTCCTGGATTAACAGCACTTTACGAGACACGACTGGGTCGACAGCACTCTAAGAGACACTACTGGGTCGACAGAACTTTAAGAGACACCACTGGGTCGACAGAACTTTAAGAGACACGACTAGGTCGACAGAATTTTAAGAGACACCACTGGCTCAATAGAACTTTCAAGAGACAGCACAGGTTCGACAGAACTTTAAGATACACCACTGGGTCGACCGAGCTTTAAGAGACACCACTAGGTTGGCAGAACTTTAAGAGACACCACAGGGTCCACAGAACTTTAAGAGAAACCACTGGGTCGACAGAACTTTAAGAGACACCACAGGGTCCACAGAACTTTAAGAGACACCACTGGGTCGACAGATCTTTAAGAGACACCACTGGATGGACAGAATTTTAAGGTATGCTTATTAGAGATAATCCTCAAAATATTCCAGACTATAGGCTGCAATCAGATGGTTACATTGTAATGTTACAAGTCCATTACTGCCATACATATAACAATAGCATAGAATGTTATCACGAATTCCCATTGTTATCCCACAGACTATGACGTCGTTATTTTTGTTTATAAGCTGTGGGGTACGACCACAAAGGAACTGGGCATTTTTGTAGAGAAAAGAACGAAGTTTTTTTTTTCATATCTGGTACTCTTTCATATAATTTCTGTTTGTCATGTTTTTTTTCATATTTGAAGGCCCAGGATCACTTAATTGATCACTTTGCCTCCTGGTTTTATTTAAGAGTTTGTCTTCTCTCAGATGAGTTCCCGTCCAGAGCTAACGAGTCCCATCCACCTGGGGTGTTAGGCGTGGGGGCTTTGGTTGGGATTGAGCTCCAGACCACCAGACCACCAGACCGCCAGACCGCCAGACCACCAGACCACCAGACCACCAGACCACCAGACCGCCAGACCGCCAGACCACCAGACCCCCAGACCGCCAGACCGCCAGACCGCCAGACCACCAGACCGCCAGACCACCAGACCACCATCTATTTGGATTGAGTCAAAACGCTCGGCTACCCAGCACCAATTGGTTTGAATAAGTAAATGTGAATTAGATGACGCTAAGGTGAACTGAAATGATGAAAGAAACATTTTCTGTTTATTAATTAGTATTTGGTCTCTTTTAATTGCTCCGATTTCTTTTATTGGACTAGAGTTTAGAAACATCAAACATGATTTTAGAACCAATCAAAATTACAAGAAATTAGTTAATGTCAACAAGAATAAATCCGAATTAATGCCAATGAAATTTATCCGGCTCAATAGCACTATGACTTAAATAACATTTGGTCCTTCAGTCAAGTGTGACATATGTTTCCAGTCAACCATGAAAAACTTTAGAAGCACCAGCAAAGTACCGATTTAGTTTTCGAAAAAAAAAAATCGATTTCTTGCGGGCACAAGTTTAAGTGTTTATTGATATTCAGATGAACACAAATATTTACTACTATTTTAAAAGAAACCTCTTCGATTCTCTCTTTGAAATGTCGCCGTAGCATTCAGAGAGCTGTCACGGCCTGTCACAACAAAACTCTATTCAGTGTAACCAACTTAACAATATTTTTAGTAGTTGACTTAATGTTTTTAAATAGAGAAAGTGATTTATTATTTCTAAAAATAGGCACCATCTTAACACATGTACATTCATTATCAAATGATATCCACTTATTTTGTATACTTCAGCGTATCAAAAAAAAAGTATACATTTTAATATCAACCAACGTCTCTATGATGTCAACCTTTCTGTTTTATTTCTTCTGCTATCTACCATAACTCAATTTCATTTTGTCTAATTTTGTTTAAAGCTACGCCAAATAGAAAATTAATCGCTTTAAAACAACATTTGAGAAATTGTTTAACTTAATAAGGATTTGATTGGTCAATTTATAGGTGGTTTATCCGATTACCAGCCAGTGACAATTGATGGCGAGAAAGTAACATTTGATGGCCAGCCAGTAACATTCAATGGCTGGGCAGTAACAATTTATAGCCAGACAGTAACAATTGATGCTCAACAGGAACAATCTGACGGCCGGACGGTAACAATCAATGGCCAGATAGTAACATTGGATGTCCAGACAGTAGCATTTTATGTCCAGACAGTAACATTTGATGGCTAGACAGTAACATTTGATTGCAAGACAGCACCATTTAGTGGACAGAGAGTAACATTTCATGCCCAGACAATAACAAGTGATGACCAGGCAGTAACATCTAATACCCAGACTGAAACATTTGATGGCCAACACTAAAAAATTAGGGTCTTACAGTAACAATTGATGGCCAACCAGTAACATTTATGTCTAGACAATAAAGTCTGATGGCCAGAACGTAACAAATGTTGGCCAGGCAGTAACATTATTTGGCCAGACCGTACAATTTGGTGGCAAACAATAGTATTTATGGCCAGACTGTAGAATTTGATAGCAAGATAGAAACATTGGATGTCAAG